CTTGCCTTAATTCTCTTATATACTAATGAGATTTTATTGTTGCCCTTTCATCATAACAGAAAGAGTGCAAATTCCAGATGTGCATTTTTCAATAATCATATGTTGCAATATGAGTTTTATAAGTGTGCACCTCAAATGCTTTTTATTTGGTATTTAATGCAACACATTAATAACTCTGGAAAGTAGGTGAAAATATATAGTGGGATTCAATTCTGAATAACTGCTCCAACTACCCAGCTAACTTACCAATTCACCCACCACTCAGTTGATTATAAAAAATTAATGTTGTAACATTACCCCCATAGCAGGTATACAACTAAATTGCTCATGGTGAAATATTTACAACTCGGTGTGCTTTTGCGGTATTGTTATGAGAAAAGTGTTTTTGATACCATAGAATTGCTTTAAAAAGAATAATGAGTTTTTAGGACAATTGACTTATACTTCCCAGTATAATGATTAATCAAATGCTTTTTTTCTTTTCTTTTTTTTTGCATACGGTTGTATTTCAGTTTAACTATATGCCCAATCTAGCTCTTTCTCTTTTCCCTTTTAACTTCTTTTCTTCACAATCAATTACAGTCTAAATCCCTTTTCTTTCCTTCTATAATCGTTATATATATAGAGAGAGAGAATCAGTCAATGGCTCAATGGGTTGGTTCAGAGAGAGAGAACTAAAGATTGCTTAAAATGACTGTTGAAAATACACCTAGTCTTCTTGTAGTGGTAGAACTCCACGTCAAAGGAGAGAGAGAGAGAGACTCCATTTCAGGTGCCACAAGCATTACCTCGAGGCCAGGCCCGCCAGGGTGTGAAGTGGTCCATGGAATGTAGGCCCACCACCCAAGAGAACTTGGCTCATGGGCCTCATATGAACCCAACAAAAAAATGTGTTCATTCCAGTATGGACTTAATGACCTGATATAGCCATATAGGGGATCCATATGGGTCCCTTCCCCTTAGTATTGGCATTCAGTTTCCACCAAATTCATCAACATCGTTAGATAGGAATTCATTCACACACACAGAATATCCAATGGCTAAAAATTGTCACCTCACCTAATAACAGTGTTTTTAAAACCTAATTGGAAAAACCCTGAACCAGTCGGTCACCTTATTGATTTCATTTCACCCCAAAACTGTTTTTTGACAAAAAAAAAATGTTGATTGGATTAGAAAACTACTGACCCGGATGATTGAACCATCGATTTAGACAGTGATTTTTGACTATTTTTTGTTTTTGTTATTTTTTTATTAGAATGGATCGTCCATTTAGACTGAACAGTCGGACCGTTCGACCCGAAAATCAAACCCAAAAGGATTCCCTGTACGATCCGATTTTAAAAACCTTGCATAAAACACCTCCACGAGATCACGTTTGCTAATCAGAGTTGATTGGATCACCGATCAGCAAGTGGGAGGTCACGGATTCAAACGCGTTCAAGGGGGGAATGTTTTCGCACTTAGTGTAATCTTCCCACGCGCTCATGTCTCCTCATGTGCGCGACGTCGTACGGCACTATCGCCCAGCTGATGGCTGTATACTGTCACCAAGATCTCGCCGTACCCAAAGCCCCATTTTCCTCTTTTCTTTTTTGCACCTTTGTTTGTCACCTGCGGTGAGTTTGTCCCTCAAATCAATTCTTTTTTTTGCACAGGATTTGCATCAGCTTTCAAAAGTTGCCTATGTGAGCTAACACTCTAGCCCAATATAACCAAAGCCATAACATGCCTATGTGCTATTGTGTTTCTTTTTTTATTCCAGCCAGAGTCACGGGGTGGGGAGATGTTCCTTCAACTTGGCCATGATAAAAATCACAATCAAATTCCTGTGGCAATGACTTTATTAAAAGACAAAAAATATTGAAGAAAAGATGAGATTGACACACAAAAAGATGTCTTCTTTAATGTTATTCTATGCATAATTTCTTTGTTCATTCTTTCAACCAACATCTGTTATTGATTTCTTGAGTCTTGCTAGTGTGTGCTGATATAAGCAATTACAATGTCAATAAAGTTAGAGATTAATCATATTTTATTGTGTTAGTTAATTGGGTAAAGTTGGAGAATTGTGTTTCGGCATTGAGGTGGCTGGTCTGGTGGCATTTTGCATACGAGGTGCAGAGGGACTGTAGATGATTCTTGTCATTAGTTTGGAACTGGATTGTGTTGGGCAAGGTCAAAACAAATTCTGATGGAAAAGGAATCGTGATTGGGTATTGATTATGAGAGATGTGGTAGACCACCTACTTGTTCTTTTTTGAAAACGTAGATAAATAAATTTAAGATAGATAGTGCCATAGGGGGGTCTTTATTCTCACATACCCATGATCCAGATAAAACAAGACAAGGATTATAAATCAATCCATTTAATGGGGTGATCTCATTAAAAAGATTGAAGGGACTATAACCTAATTTATTCCAAAGCTGATATTGCTGTTGTTGTTAAATATTACATAAAAAATTAGGGATTGGCAATTTTTCTCATCATTGACGGGGATCCAATTTGGGGTCGGGGATGGAAATTGTTTTGGTGGGGCAGGGATGGGGATGGGGATTAATATAAATCTCTGATCGGGTTCGGGTCAGGGATGGGGATTGAGGTCCCCGCCCCGCCCCACCCTGACCTCGATTATATATATATATATATATTAAATATTATTATATTATTTTTATTATATACATCAAAAAATATTTAAAACATTATTTATAATTTATAATTTTTTATTTATTTTAAATAAATTTATTAAAAAAACTATTATCTAAAAAAATTTTAGGAATTCGGGGAACCCATCTTCATCGGGGATCGGGGATAAAGGACAAATTTTAACCCTAACAAGAATTGAGGATGGGGATGAGATTAATTTTAAAACTGGGATGGAGTAAGGAAAATATGATCCCTACCCCATTGCCATTCCTATAGAAAACCCTAACTGGTAAGACTCAAAAGCCTACAAACATGCTAAGGGTAATTTCTTTCAACAACATAAATCAATTTATGGCACTAGTCCTCTGAATAAGAGAAACAATTAATTACCAACTGAAGAGACTGATGGGCCATTATCTTTGCCGACCATAACCTAGTTTTAATTGTTGATTATGTGATGATTAAGGGGAAGCTTACCAACCAAAGAACCCTTTATCTAGAAAACCCATGTGGGTCATTGATGGAATTTTGAGTCGGTGCATCTTTTTAATATGCCTAATTAAATTATTAAATCACTAGTAATTCTCAATGAATACCCAACTCATCAAGGACTCTGAATAGCTTTGGTATGGTATTATGCTAGTAGCAGATAGCATATTAGGCACAAAAAACAGAAATGCAGTTGAACAATATTTCAAGAAGAAGTTGTGTATCATCCATATAGTGCCTGTTAATGGGATTGGGGTTTGATAATTTCCACCTAACCCAAAGCTCAAGCTGAAACCTACCCAGACAATTGCCAACCAATCAAACCTTAATTACAAGAGTTAATATATCTAAAAACCAGGTTAAGAATAGCTGACCCCTAACAATGAGCAGATAAGCAGTTTACAAGTATTGAATTGAGTAAGTTGATTCAGGTTGAGTTAGAGAGTGTTCAGTTGTAACTCCATCCAAACTCAAAACTAAACCAGGTTGGGATTAGCAAAACCTAACTAGGAAGGAAAATGAATAGGTACTTGGTATCTTTGAAAAGTAATGTGTTATCAACTTATCATCACTCCTCCAGACTAACCCTCTAAGGAACAATTCATATTCGTTCCTTAAGCACACCAATGAAACTAACATAACATTAACTTAGAAATATCACTTAAAAATTATGCCAAACCTGCAGAATATTTATATGACGATAATACAATAAAACCCTTGTGCGGATGCATGGAATATAGCATGAGAAACACATTTGGTTTCAGAGAATTTTTTGTTTTAAGTAAATAATATAACTTTGTTCATCCTAATTTATAAAATTAATATCCACAGAACACTGCTAATAGGCATATAAAATTTATCCTTCTTGTTAATAATGCAGGATTGCACTCTATCCAAGAGATTGAATTAAGCATTTAAGCTTAAGCCAAGAGCCTGTAAGACAGGAGGGCAGCTCCTGTCTGTATTCCACCTTAAAAGATAGACATGAGAGAGAGAGAGAGAGAGAGAGAGAGCATCTCTGATCTCCCTGAAAATCCCCCCCAACAGGAGATGTTGTCGACAAGTGTATGTGGGAGAGTTGCATGTTTTGAGAAGGAGCAAAAAGTTGAATGAGATCCAAACGTACGTCCCACGTCGCACCACAGATGCGGTGAACTTATTGAATCGGGGAAAGGAGTAAAGAAAGAAGAAAACTCACAGCTGCTTTTGTCTCAGTCCCACTTTGTTATATCACCATTGGAAGTTTCTTCCAAACGAACAAATTCTCTGCCCTCATTCTACTTCTACGCTTTTCTACTTCTGCAACTGATACTTATGATTTCATACGGGACAGAGACATGGTAAGCTACACCGGTCAAACGCCAACTACTTCAGCTCATGCACAGACACAATGGATCAAGATTTCCAGACCCCACCATTAAATGGATCCCACTTAAGCCAGAGATTATGCCAAAACTGACCACTATAAACCATTTTCATAGATTATTCCAAAGGGTTTTGATAGAATCTTTGAGCAATCCAAGCGAATAGGTTTAAACATCTGACGATGTAATTTTGATGTAGGGAATCTCTCAAGTGAGACCCAGACAATGGTGGGTCATAGTCCTCTTGGGCAATTGAGGAGGGCAGCTCATTCTCCCGTGGCTCTTTTCTTTTGATGGGGCCCCATTTGTTAATTTTGCAATACTAGTCTTTTAAATCCTTTTCTCCTTAAATGGGACTACTGCCTCTGTGTCAATACACCGCTAGATGTTCCAATTCCACGTAGCAGATAACTAAGCTCAATCCTTAAAGCCGCTCAGAAAGCATGATTTAAGACTGTTCTAGGTTTCTCTTATTTATATTATTGTTTGTTCATGTCATTTTCCCCCAACCCCACCACTACTCTCTCTCTCTGGGTACCAAAGAGAAGAAGAGAGGGAAAGGGGGAAGGGAAGGCATCCTCCTAAAAGACAAACCAAACCACCATTCATACAACAATAATAAACCATGAGTCCATGATTTCCCACCTAGACTGCTCTTGAATCCCCAAAGTCTTGAATAAAACTTTCTAAGGAGAGAGATCATAAACCTTTGAGAAGATGAGCATGAGCTATTATGCAGATAATACGGGTTTCTGCTTTCAAACACCAACCTTCATTGAATGGCTCAAACCTTCAGTCTCTCCCCTTTCATCATCATCATCATCATCTTTTTGCACGAATACTCAGCAGCAAGCTCAACCTCAGTTCTCAATCCCCATGAGCTGCTTACAACTGCCTATCTTCTATCAACAACAACAAGAAGAAGATTTCTTTCATCAAACTTCCCAGTGCCTCCCTCTTCTAAGCAGGTTTGCTGAGTCTAAGCCCTTGAAAGAAGAGGAAATTGAAGTGCAAAAGGATAGTGTTAGTATTAAAGATGAGAAGTTAGAGAAGATTACTGTGGCTTTGCATATTGGACTCCCCAATATAGAAGATTCTGATGATGATGATGAAATCAAGTCCTTAAGTTGTAAGGAAGACAAGTCCATGAATAAAAATCTTGAAGATTGTTCAATAAACACTGATAGTAGATTTTGGATCCCCACACCAGCTCAGATCCTTATTGGGCCAACCCAGTTCTCTTGCTCCATCTGCAACAAGACCTTTAATAGGTACAACAACATGCAGGTCAGTGATGAATTTCTGCATATTAGAATTTCTTCTCTTCTTTCCATTCTTTCCCTTCTATTTTGTGATAATAACAAATTTCAAGTTATTTATGCATGGCCATAATGAATGTCTTGAGTAAGCCTTTTACATGGTGGAAAATATGTCTTTTTTTTTGTTTAATCCATTTTCTTGAAGGGGAAATATTTCTTCCGTGTTTCTTCATTTTAAATTTTTGTTGTTTTATGTGGGATACTGGTATCATTTGATGTGTTCAAGTTGGTCTTCTGGGCTACTATAGTATCAATTCATTATTTCTCTAACTTAAACCACCTGATCGAGAGAGGGAGAGACCCAACAATAAATCAAAATATTTACAAGAGATCCACAAAATTTGAAACTTCATGTCACCAAGTGCCTGAAATTTTTCTTCAGATCTATTCATGTAAATATTGCTTAATGCATCCTCATGTATATTTTGGAAACATGGATATATCACCATAATGATCATCATCCTCATGTATATTTTAGAAACATGGATGTATCATACATTTAATTACACTTCAACCAAAAACCACTGACAAGAAACATGTTCTTATCTCGGTAAGCTTCTAACACAAAGTGAGGATGTTACTGAATTATGCTCGTAGATATGAGAATTAATCCACATCTTTCTTATGTCATCTAATTGATATACCATTTATTGATTTAGATCATCCAATTTTCAAGGTCATTTCTTTGATTCGCCCTAGTGGGAAAGATGGATCTGTTAACTGATGCTAAGCATCAAAGAAATTACATTCTGAGAATAAGTAGTACAGATACTATTTTTCTACCATTCGAGTAGAAAAGTCTCTGTATGGTTTTCGAAGCTCTTGGTTTTCCAGCAATACTAATGACCCCGCAAAAGGTACAAGATACTTAAAGCATCTCAGACTTCCAGGTGTTACAGTATGTCATTGTCGGTTTTGTCTAGCAATCTAATAGTTCTTATTAATTAATTATTTATTTTTGTACCATGTATGCTTAGTAACTAGCTAGTAAGAGGGATCTGATCCATAGTAGAAGTAAATCCTAATAATGAAAATTTTACTGCGATTAAATAGAGAAGTTTTTTATAATATTATTTCATGTTTGCAGCAAAAAAACATGTTTTTCCAAGAGATTATCTTAGAACAACATATGATTTTTTTTTTTACTTCCATAAGAGTTGTAACTGTCATCTTAGAGGTACTTGTTTTGTTTAATTAATTACTTTGTTAATATGAAATATCATATATTTCAGTTGAAATTAAAATAACCTATTAATGAAATTAACTAATAAAAACCCAAAAATAAAGGAAATATGGTAATGATCATAATGGGGTGAAATATAAAAATTTATCATTTTAGATGGCTTTATTTATAGATTGTAAAGGTGAAAGTTGCACCATGAACAGATGCAACATTATAGCATAAAGGTGATTTTTTATGGTAAAAATACAGTACCAGAAAAAGGACAATAATATTAATTTGTGTGAAATTTGGGATGTAGATGCATATGTGGGGGCATGGAGCACAATATAGAAAAGGACCAGAATCGCTTAGAGGAACGCAACCAACAGCAATGTTGAGGATTCCTTGCTACTGTTGTGCTCATGGCTGCAAGAACAACATCAACCATCCACGAGCCAAGCCACTGAAAGATTTCAGAACCCTTCAAACACATTACAAGAGAAAGCATGGAGTGAAGCCATTTATGTGCAGAAAATGCAGCAAACCTTTTGCAGTCAGGGGGGATTGGAGAACACATGAGAAGAACTGTGGGAAGCTATGGTTTTGTTCATGTGGGTCTGATTTCAAACATAAGAGATCACTCAAGGACCACATAAAATCCTTTGGAAAGGGTCACTCTCCATACCCTCCTAATGAAAATTTTGAAGAGGAAAAGGAATGCATCACTGGATCATCGGAAGATGAATTGGGTTCTGGAAGACAATTATGATTACTAGTTTGTCTCCTAATTAATTAATTAATCATTTTAGTTGTTGGGTATGAGTTTACTAAGACATCTAAGCTTGTGCTCAGTAACAAAAGACTCTCAACAAGTGTCTGATGCAGGAACACAATGGAGAGAAGTTTGCTACAGACGACAGTTGGGTGAATAGGAAATAATAATGACTTGAAGCTAGAGTCTGCAAAGTGGCTTGATCCAGAAAATGGTTGACATATGAACCACTGTCTTGAAGTAGTTGAATTTTCTTCACCCACCAGAATTTTTAGTACCTTAAAATTTCAAGCATATTCCAAGGTTAGCTGCTCAGGTGTCTAAAATCTCTGTAATGGAGAAAATTTGTCTACTTCATTGATTGTGAGTTTGTAATAAATAAATGAATCTTTCTTTCTCAAACACCATCACACTTAATACTAGCACATTGTTATTTGTGACAAATTTCTCCTAATTTAACTCTCACTCATTCATTGAACACTAAAGCAATTAACCGATTATTAGTTAATTTCATTGTTCACTGCTTGAAATTAAGGCTGTGTTTGGTTGCAATGCGAATTTATTTGCACCGATGCAAAACCATAGTAGCACAAATGATTTTGGTGCAAATTATGATTTATTTTTATTTCAAAATTTACCTTATTTTATTTGATTGCAACAAAAAAAGTAAAAAAAAAAAAGACCTAAAACAGAATAAAGCAAAACCCAAAATAAAATTAAGCCAAAATTTGTATTCTTTTCATTTGCACTCCCATGCATTTGTAGTATTGCAAATAAACTTTTGTGATGCGCACCTTTTATGTGGAGTTGATTCCTCGATCTCATTGTTTTAAGGTCATCATGAGATCTAATTTCGGCAAGTTATGGTGCATAAACCGCGTTTACCCCCTTTCATCTGGAGTGAATTTTGAGGATTAAAGAACAAGAAAAGACCGTCTTTGATACATGTAGATTATGCACTGCATAAAAGAAATTAATATATAATCCTTTCAAAACCTTTTTCTTTCCAAGCAACTTTTCTTATCTTCCTTTGACAAGTTATAGCACCCTTTTTTCAAAAGGCAAAAGCAAAATAGGGGTCTTTTGCTAGGTCCATATTGGAGGCTTAACAAACCCACCACCACTACCCTCTAATTTTAACAAAAACAACTATAATTTGATTAGACTCTCTCTCTCTCTCCTACGTGGCAATCCAAAATGGGAGTTGGGATCTCCTGCCAACAAAGTTCCAACACCCTACCAACTTGATCTGACTCCCAAAATGGATCCATATGTTTGCTCACATCATTATTTCATACGAGTTTCATCGTCACTAGTCCTCCACAATGACCAAAAGAAAAGTCTGTCATCTTACCCTTCTTTAATCATTTTAAGAAATTCAAGACAAAGGAGATATTCTTCACATTGGAATAGTTTTATACGGATGACGTGGACAAGAATATTACACATGCAAGTTATCCAGTCAGCCCCTCCCATGCATAAGATGGGTGGTATGATTTTCCATGCCTGTTAATAACCCTCCAACAGTTGATGTTTAATTAGAAGCAAAGCATGTAGTTACCTATCAATATCTTTAGCTTGTATATGTGTGCATGTGCGTTTGTGTATTATCCTGAGAGTTCAAATCAGCCCCCACATAATTGCCCCTCATAACGTCCCATAGTACATCCTCGCTGTGTATTGGGAACATTTCCTGATGATGACAACATCATTTTAGGTATTATCATCGGGAAATATTTTCAATACACGGCGGGGATGTGCTGTGGGAGAAAATCTTGTGGGGGGTTGATTTGATCTCTCATCCTGAGTTTTCTTTTCTATGAAAGAAAAGAAAAGTATTATTAATAAAAAAAGCAGTCTGAATCAGGTAGATATAACGTTGTAAGCACATCGAATGAGCAATTAGAAAATTTTTTGAGACTTGTCCCTTAAAATATTCCCAGCCTACCCTTGAAAAAGATTAAAAACCACTTGACAATTGTACGTGCTTATTATACTGTGTCTACTAGATCCGGTCCCGAAAGAAAGGCCTAAGAGGGGGAGACATACGAAACCTTACTTCTCGAAGAGAAAGCTATACACACAAGAGAAATAATTCTTAAACATAAACACTATACACTTTTACCATGCTTCACCTACATCTTTTGCCATTGTTATGTATAATCCTTGGTTTATATACACAGTCCTTTCTGAAGATTTCATGGTAGAACCTTTTGCAGAAAGATGTATATATGTGTTGATACCCAAGTGAGATGAACCAAGTAAATTTTGTTATAAAATAACCTTCCATATTTGCTTTGGTTTTTTACAGTTTTTTTTTTTTTTTTCAATTGACTAATAGAACTGTATATAGGTCTATGCATGTACTGTCATATATATGACACATGAAGCATACGGATCATGATATTTTGAGGATAGAGATCTGTCATGGGATGAGAGTCATATAAGAGATTAGTTCGGCTAAAACTAATTTGATTGAACGCATGATTTCACTGTATTCATGTTAACCATGTATATATATATATATATATATACTTCCCATTTCATTTGGTTTTGGAATGCACGATGGAAAATATGCATTCTTTTAAACTATGGTATGTTTTGAAACCAACTAAATTTGGTTCTAAAACACAAAATATTGCAGATTTTTGAAATACATCAAAATCTCGTGTTTCAAAGCACACCACACCTTGGGACATTCAATAAACATTAATTTGGTATATTTTTACAAAAATATTTGTATTTCAAATCCCATTTCCTTAAAACATATTACACCATCATCGTAAATAACATTACCAAAGGTATAGTGAATTCCATTACCTACCATTTCAAACACACCACAAAAAGTGTTATGGAACTCAACTATCCACTGATCATTGTTCCCATACCACACCTCTAATCTTTCTCTTTCTCTAAGATTATTATTCTCTCGTTCCCACAGGAGCACAAAGAGACAATTTATCCTCCTATGTACTATTACTAATTCTGTATTTGGTTGCAGTGTAATTTTATTTACATCAGTATATAAATGCTTGGAGTGCAAATGAAAAGAATGAAAATTCTAATTAGTTTAATTTTGTATTTGATTTTACTTTGTTCTGCTTCACGTCTTAATTTACTTCATCTGTTCTATAATCAAATAAAATAAGATAAAAGTTGAAACAAAAGTAAATCCAAATTCTCACCTAAATCATTTGAACTACTATATATGGTTTTGCATAGGCTGCAACCAAATGCAGCTTAGGCTGCGTTTGGAAACGATGCAAATGGAGTGTAAATCCTAGTTCAGGGTAAATTTGCACTCTGGTTCACTTTTGCCTGTGTTTGGCAACATTACATTTATGCGTTGACAAATGACAGAAAACACATTTTTCAATGCATATTTATATTGATAATAAGATGTAAAGGTACATCAATAAAAAAGAAGTAAATTTGCATTCAAGTGGGCTTTTGATAAAAAAAGGCATATGCTTTATTGAAATTCATGTTTGTATCCATTACAGCTAAAAGTCTGTTTGGTAAGAAGGTAAATTTGTCAATGCAAAATTAACCCAACTTTACAAATTATATGGACCGTTTTACACTCTACATATTTGCATTCACACTTATTTGCATTGTTTCCAAACGCAGCCTTAAGGCTCAGTTTGTTTGGCAAGGTGCCAACCAGCTGGTTGGTAAGGTCTCCTATTGGTCGTAGCGGAGACTTGGGATCAAGTTCCGCCAGCACCTGGGTTAGGGGGGCTATGGGTTGGGGGATGGGTACCCACCCCCAGTTGTGTAGCTCTTGAAAAGATATATAAAAAAAGGCTTAGTTTATTTGTGGCACAAATTTCGTTTGCATTGGTGTAAAAGCATGGGAATGCCAATAGGCAGAATCTAAATTTTGGTTTACTTATATAATATATATTTTTAATATATTATATACATAATATCTATAATATATATTTAAATATATATACATATATATAGTGTTGAAATCCGGTTGTAATAAAAAAATGACTCAAAAATTTTAGTTTTGGTTTGGTTTTCCATTTAAAATTTCGATGGTTTTTAAACAAATAAACTGTTTTCAATTCGTCAGTCATCATTAGACCTGTTCATGGGCTGGGGTCGGGCTTAGCTTTTGTCAAATCTCTAATGGGCCCAGATCAAAGCCCGAGCCTGAGATAGTGTAAAGTTGGGTCCAAAGCCCAGCCCGTGATCACACGTGTAAAGAGGGTTAGTAGGAATAAAGCAATGGATAGGATTAGGTCTTAGCCAATGGCCTTGTTGTCTAGATGATCAAGTGGCACTTTATTGGGATCTATGGTGACCTTGAGAAATCAAGAGTGAAGGAGAACGAACGATGGACAATGCAAGAAGCAAGAGAAGACAGAATACACACTATTTTTAAGTGAACGAATCTTTCAAGAATATGAAGGGATTGAAAGAATCACATGACACTAATCCAAATAAAATTTCCACTTCTTCACAATAATGGGATTACGTGTCCAATGTTAATTAGAGAATTAGCCTAATGTCTTCTTCTTTGTACAAGAGTATAACCTTATCACATACATAAACGAAGTTGGTAAATACATATTTATACATAAACACGGTTCATCTTCTAACATCTCGAGTGTCGAGTATTGCATAGACGAAGTAGAGCGGCGGAAAGCAGTGTCGTGAGATCCGTGGAAGAGCWAATGTGAGATCCAGGGAACAAGGCCTAAAGCAATACCTAGTAGTAGAAAGGCCCAAAAGATCTATGGGATCCAATGGGTGCGAGGCTGGAGATCCGCGAGATCTAGATGAGTGTGAGATCCAATCCTCGTGAGGTCAGCCTATCTCCAAGATCTGCCATGAGCAATCCTGCAATCCCCACAAGTTGTGATCCATAGGCTTGCGATCTATAAGCATTGCAATATCAACAACTATGCGAATATGATGATCTCACATCTTGTGGAGATCCATCTGACTACGAGGCTAAGCTACCATATTCGACATTGGAAGTGAGATCGCAACTAAGTTTCAAATGATTTGACAATGTAAGTGGATCTCACCTCTATAGGAGAGAATCCAAATATTTCTTTTCAAATTCGAAATTTTACATAATCAAATTGAATTCAGATAATTCGAATATTTAATCAGTTAAATTTGGATATTTTATTCATACCAAATAGCTAATCGGATTCGAATTCGGATATTACCCAATTAGATTCGATAAGTATCTGAATTCGATTGATTATTTAATTCTTGTATATAGTATATAAAATTTTTAAATGTTTTATATAATATTGGACGAGGATAAGAAGATAAGAAGACTCGCGAGAGTCCCGGCTTGAAAGTCTTTATCCTAATCTGTACTTCTACTAATATAGGAAGTCTCTTTTCTTTATAGATTAGGAACTTCGTTTTAGAAAGTTTTGGGGAGCAAGGAACTCCACCGCCGTATGTATATAA